CTCTCAGCAACATTTGACTATTTACGATCTGTTCTTGGATATATATCTTTCATAAAAAACATTAATAAAAATAAATAGTTTAAATTATGACAATAATATTATTTATTATTATAGAGTTCCCTATTCAGGTCAGTGCTCCTCCCCACATTCAAATTGTTGCCCCCCCCCACAGTTGCACCGAAATGTTGTTACTAATATTGATTTTCGGGTGGGCTGGCTATAAACTTAAACGGCTCGTACTAAACAGTAAAAATTCCCAGTAATGAAAGACCCGGTCAAAGACTGGTTATACTGCTAGTACTATTAATAATACTAATATAAAAACGATATTAATTCAAAACTATAAATGATGTAGACTAGACAATCACATAAACGACCATATATAAAAATGTGAATACACATACGCATACATGTTAGTATCCATATAAAACAGAATCAACACTTCTCTACACCTAAATAAGTCATTTCTTTGATTCAGTAATTGGTTAACATTTTTATCTTTTATCATTCTAATTTTCTCTTGTATGCTTAGACTGCATCTGTCTCGGAAGTTGCTTAGAGTCTTACACTGACACATGATATCCCATTTAATTTGTGGGGTGAAGCCTCCATCGTTAAAATTCCAACAATCTTTGAATAGAGCAGTCTGGTGTCTTAAAGAAGCATTGAAGAAGGAATGCTGATGATCTTAAAATCTGTTTCCAAATCCTAGCGGATATCCCTGCGGATACTTTTTTTTTTATCAATGATATTTTCTTTTGGAAAAAATGATAGTTTGAAATATCACATTTTTCTAATTACTCGTATCTACAATTGGGCAGTTAGTTCCGGTTCTACAATTATAAGGAAGCTATTCTGTTTTTTTTTACTATTAAAATTGCTCCTTTTACTCCCCCCCACTCTTCCTTTTGTCTGGAAAACTTGATTTAATTTAAAAAAAAACAAAAAAAAACAACTTTGAACTGAAGAGATGAATATTTTAATATATTCATGAAATAAATTATAACCTAATGGAGTTTTAAGGGTCGTCTGTAATATATATCTCATACTTATCATAAAACCCAGTGTGTGTGTGTGTGTGTGTGTGTGTGTGTGTATGTGTGTCTGTACGTTTATATATGGGATCGGATTTCCTACATTTTTCAACCGATTTCAACAAAACTTCACTACGTAAAAGTCCCTTGCGGTGGTTCTGACAGCGCCAAAAATTGAAGTTTGAAAACACGATTAAGAGGCATCGCGAGAATGAAAGGGGGACAACTCATATCGAGTTATACTTATTATAAAACCCAGGTTGTGTGTGTGTTCGTTTATATATGGGATCGGATTTACTACATTTTTCAACCGATTTCAACAAAACTTCACTTTTTTTGGGCAGGTAGTGTTTCTTATTGTCTTGCACACTTTTTTCTTTATTTTTACATTCAGAATGCTTTAAAGATTCCATTTACAAGACAATTGTTTATAATAAAATTCTATTCAATCGGTAGACTCATAACAATTGAAAACAATGTTTTTGTTTGAGTTTGGGTTTGACGATTTTGTAAAGAAAAAAAAACTAATTAAGACATCCGTCAACCTTAAACAATAATCTTTGTCAATTTTATTTTTCAGTCTTTATGATGGTCGATACTTGATCTATCTCTTACTGTTACATATATATATCTACTATATATATATATATATATATATATATATATATATATATATATATATATATATACACACACACACACCAATTGATAATTAGTAGAGATAATTCAATGGAGTACATTAATCCAAAAAGAGCACATTTCTAAAAAAAAAAAAAAATACCTACAGGCTGAAAAGATGAATATTTAAATATATTCATGAAATAAATTATAACCAAAATGGATTCATAAGGACTGTATTTACTTATATACGAGTGTGTGTGTGTGTGTGTGGAAAAGCGATTTTTAATTTCAGTCAGGACGTCGTGGTTCTGTACATAGTTGATATTGACAGTTGATTTCGTTTTTACCATTATTTATAAATATATCTCACGAGGAACACAATGATAACTTTCTGACCGCGTTCGGAAATTAAAAAGAAACATTCCCGCATATATATATATATATATATATATATATATATATATATTAAATATAATGAAATGGATTAAGCCCGATAATAAATTTGATTTTTTTTTTAACTCTAAAAATTGGTCCTTTTCTTTTTTTCTCTTTTCCTTTTGTCTGGACAAATTGATTTAATTTCTAAAAAAAACTTCGGTGTGAAGAGATGAATATTTAAATATATTCATGAAATAAATAACGGAAATGGATTCATAAGGATTGTATTTACTTATATATGAGTGGTCGCGTACGCGTGGAAAAGCGAGTCTTAATTTCCGAATACCGTCAGAACGTCGTGGTCCTATACGTAGTTGATATTGAGAGTTGATTTCGTTCTTATTTATAGCTATATTTCACTAGGATCACGGTTATAACTTTCTGACCGTGTTCGGAAATTAAAAAGAAACATTCCCGCATATATATATATATATATATATATATAAAATGAACATAGAAGTCAACACTTAGAGGCGACAGTCTGATTCATGCTAGAATAGACTACCCACAATGCAATACTGACCCATATATATATATATATATATATATATATACACATCCGAGAAAAATAACAGCACACGTAGCTTGACGATTGTATCTAGCATGAAACAGACTGTCGCCTCTAAGTGTTGACTTCTATGTTCACTTTTATATTTACACACGCTCTATCTCTGATATTGAGCACTTTATCCCATAAATATAGCACATCTTAAGACTATATTTATTTTATATATATATATATATATATATATATATATAATGAAATGGATTAAGTCCGATAATAAATTTAATACATATTTCTGTTTATATATTATTTTTATACATGCAATTTATTTCAAGTAAATGCTTTTGAATTAAACAGTATTAATTACATTTACCGGCTTGAATATTCGAGAAATCTCGTAGAAAATGTGTTCTCCAATCGATTTTTATGTATTCAGAAGAAATAAGTTAGATTCATGAATAACGGATCTATAGAAAAATGATGACGTAATTTTTAAACGTGTGATAATATTTGGTAATGTTCCTAGAAAAATACTTTCACAATATTTTCTCTTTAAAGAGTTTTATATTTTCATAACGCTGGCATTGGTGAAATTAAAGTTATTTCCTACGTTATATTGTGTGTATATACACAGACACACACATACTGAGTTAAAAAATACGCATTAGCACCCATATATATGTATATCTTTATATTCTTTGCTGGTGAAACAAAATACAAATAGTCTAAATGTAACATCAATCGCTATAGGTCAGTTTGAATTTTGTTTGTCTTTTATCCTTGCCTGTTATCAATTTTCTCTTTCGCTCGCTGTAACTAACGACGCGCGTGTAGCATTCCTTGATTGAGAAAGAAGAAAGAAGAATAGGAGAAGAAGAAAGGAGAAGAAGAAAAGAAGAAGAAAAGAGAAGAAAGAAGAAAAGAGAAGAAGAAGAAAGAAGAAGAGAAGAAGAAGAAAGAGAAGAAGAAGAGAAAGAAAAGAAGAAGAAAGAGGAAGAAGAAGAGAAGAAGAAGAAAGCGAGAAAAGAAAGAGAAGAAGAAAGAGAAGAAGAAAGAGAAGAAGAAAAGAGAAGAAGAAGAAGAAGAAGAAAGAAGAAGAAGAAGAAAGAGAAGAAGAAGAAGAAGAAAAAGAGAAGAAGAAGAAAAGAAGAAGAAGAAAAAAGAAGAAGAAAAAGAAGAAAGGAAGAAAAAAGAGAAGAAGAAGAAAAAAGAAGAAAAGACGGACAAAAATCTTAAACACGTCACTTTTAAACAATGTCATTCTTTTTAAATTGATTAGGTTTCGAACGAAGATTGTCTGCATTAAAAATGAAAGGCGTAAAAAAATATACAAGTGAAAATACGGCAAAGATGTCTTAGACTTGACAGGATTTTTGCCGATTCAATAGAAATATGCTTATCTCTAAGGGAAATTCCGACATCTCAATGTAGCATTAAGCCAAGTAAGCACGAAATGAAAAACGGTCACAGCCGAAATATTAATTGAGATTAGACCAAGGAAGGAAGGTGGGGGAATGAAAAAGTTTGAGAGAAAAAGAAAAAAAAAGAATTATCGACAACGGACGAGGAGGTACAAAAAGTCTAAGAATACCTAAGGAATATGAAAGGGTACACAAGACAAAGGTTATACAAGTTTTTCGTGTACAAGAGCGTTTGTATGGATGGGAGCAAAAAATGTCATGCTTAAAAGAATTTTCAACTATTGTAGTCAGGTAAAAAAAAAAAATGATAGATAGAAAAAAGATAGATTAGAACAGACATTAGTAATTAGTTTTAAAAATCTCCAAACTCAAAAACAAGAAAACTGAAATAACAAATAAATGTAGACATATAAATAAATACTTACTTTGCTATGTAAGCACGAATTAAAAATAAACAAAAAATATAAACGTAAAAAAAAAAAATTATTAATAAATAAATAAACGAACATATATTAAATATACACACCAATACAAAAACTGCTACAAACGAAAAAACCGAACCCCAATAATTAATACACTGAGGCGAAAACTAATGTAGTAAAGAAAAGACTGTCAACTGATAGTAGCAACTGCAATAGATTTCTTGTTTCTCGGGCGCAACACTTGTAGCCAAATCGCAGTTCACACGATAGTCCGCCGTAACAGTCCAACACACACCGTAGAAACGACAAAATGGGGTCACAAATCCAACCTTTCACTACAACAAATAGACTACTAACCATTATTAAATAAAAATGAAACATTAGATAAACGATATAATATGAAAATATTTAATTTATTCCATATATAACATTAACATACTAGTGCCAAACATGGCCCCTAACAAAAAAACCCTGAGAGGAAACTGATCACTTGGGAGATGAAATGCCTAAGGAAAGCAGTGAACAAGACCAGGTGAGACAGGATAAGGAATGAGGCGATATGGTAGGGGCAATACCAATCACACAGCACATCGAACGACAGAGGATCAAGTGGTTCGGAAACCCCACTCGTATGCCTATCAACCAACGAGACCTACGAGTATACACCCTTAAGTACTCTGGCTGGAAAGCGAGAGGCAGACCAAGAAGACACTGGAGCAACTCAGCGGAAGACACTGGAGCAACTCAGCGGAAGACACTGGAGCAACTCAGCGGAAGACACTGAGCAACTCAGCGGGAAGACACTGGAGCAACTCAGCGGAAGACACTGGAGCAACTCAGCGGAAGACACTGGAGCAACTCAGCGGAAGACACTGGAGCAACTCAGCGGAAGACACTGGAGCAACTCAGCGGAAGACACTGGAGCAACTCAGCGGAAGACACTGGAGCAACTCAGCCGGAAGACACTGGAGCAACTCAGCGGAAGACACTGGAGCAACTCTCAGCGGAAGACACTGGAGCAACTCAGCGGAAGACACTGGAGCAACTCAGCGGAAGACACTGGAGCAACTCAGCGGAAGACACTGGAGCAACTCAGCGGAAGACACTGGAGCAACTCAGCGGAAGACACTGGAGCAACTCAGCGGAAGACACTGGAGCAACTCAGCGGAAGACACTGGAGCAACTCAGCGGAAGACACTGGAGCAACTCAGCGGAAGACACTGGAGCAACTCAGCCGGAAGACACTGGAGCAACTCAGCGGAAGACACTGGAGCAACTCAGCGGAAGACACTGGAGCAACTCAGCGGAAGACACTGGGCAACTCAGCGGAAGACACTGGAGCAACTCAGCGGAAGACACTGGAGCAACTCAGCGGAAGACACTGGAGCAACTCAGCGGAAGACACTGGAGCAACACAGCGGAAGACACTGGAGCAACTCAGCGGAAGACACTGAGCAACTCAGCGGAAGACACTGAGCAACTCAGCGGAAGACACTGGAGCAACTCAGCGGAAGACACTGGAGCAACTCAGCGGAAGACACTGGAGCAACTCAGCGGAAGACACTGGAGCAACTCAGCGGAAGACACTCTCAGAGCCCACGAGATATATCTCCTCCAGGCCACTCGTCTTGCCGCTAACAGACGACTGTGTCTCCTCGCGACGCCTAACAGCACAAGCGGAAGGAAAGACTAATAATCATTTAAAAATTACATGTGTTTGCACACACACACACACACATATATATATATATATATATATATATATATATATATATATATATATATAGAAAATTTCTCCGATTTAATCGGTAGAGAAGACAATATTATGAATAAAAATGACAATAGGAAAACTGGTAATTGCTGACGTTTGAATTTTCGTATTTTGCTTTGATAAAGTCCACATTGGACGAAACGCGTCAGCAATTACCAGTTTTCCTATTGTCATTTTTTATTCCTAATATATATATATATATATATATATATATATATATATAAAAACAGCAAACAAAACTTTCTATAACCTCATTCAACCATAATTAATACCCTAAAAATAGAAAAATAATTTTACCATGTAATCACTAGTTTATTAATAACAAATCACAAACAAGTGTACATGTAGCTGTGTAGGCGCGTTTATGTATGTACAGTGGTGTATACCTATATACGTAGATGCATGCGCAAGCGTATAAATACAGGCTTATGTACATCAATTCAAACAATAATAAAATTTTAATTACAAGTCTAACCTTCTACAATTAATAATTAAAATACCACCAAACCAAATAAGAAAGCGAAGTGAAGACAAAAATATTTATCATTTAAGCATTAATATAAATTATCTATGTAAAAAACGAAATCCAACTTTCCTAGTCAAAGAAAAGACTAGAACGCTCAAAACTTAAAAATGATGACATGTCAAGGAAAAATAGAAAACGCGAAGAAAAGAACAAATAATCACGACGCCCTACACGTATAGACATCCGCGCAGACGGGTGAACACACAAACAAACAATACGGAAAACAAACTTACACCAATGACAAGTGCATAAAGAAAAATCGAGAAATATAAGCAATCAATTGCTTATATCCCACTGATAAATTTTTACTTATATTAATTATATCTATAGTATATTTATTTATAAATATATACCTAGCTCTGTCTAACCACATTGAGCACTTTTGTTTATACCCTAAAATAAATTTAGGAAATATTTATTCGCTTACCTGTGCATGCACGCTAATGCATGTATATACGGTTGCTAATATCTAGTTATTTGATTTATCTACATTAATACCTATCTCTGCCTCTCTCTCTCTATATATATATATATATATATATATGTGTGTGTGTGTGTATGATATATCTATCTAGATTATATATATATATATATATATATATATATATAGAGAGAGAGATAAATAGATAGATATATCAGGACACACATAGATATAGAGAAATCCTCTACTGCAGGTGGCCCCTGGGCCTTTTACAGGTTGAACCTCACCGTAAAAAATAAGAAAATAAATAATAATAAATAATCTGTGTTTCTCAATCTTCGATACTGTCGGCTTCCATCTTGTCAGCTTCTCTTAGAAATATATTCGCTCTTTGTACCGAAGGAAGCCTTTTATTTTAATTATTTTTTTTTTTTTTTTTTTTGTGAGTACACAGTGAAAATCTAAGATAAAGAATATTTTCTTCGGAAAGCCCAACTTTCTGTGACAGCTGCTCTTCCACGCGAGCTACAGGAACCTGCCAGAAGATACAATCTAACCAAATAGACTCGCTTTATTTTTCCTCGATCGCTCGGCGTCAGAGCCATATTTTATGTTAATATTTTTTGCGCATAGTAGCAGTACTGACTTTAATTTTCTAAAATATTTACGAATATTTAGATTTGATTTTGTGGCAACCGAAGGTTCCTGTAGCTGAAACGGTAGAGCGGCTATCGCGCGAAGGCAAGTAAAAATGTTGCGAATTTGCGTTTCGCCGGAAGTTTATTGCTGATCCACGCTGTTTATGAAGATTAATAGGCGGACGGTCTAGGTAGTTGCAATGATAGATTGATGGGTTTCTTTAACGGCATATCAACTCATTCATGGGTCATTTAATGGCGAAATTTAATTTTATTGGGAGCTTTGAACTAATGAAATTCCGATATATGTTATTCTATTTACATTATTCGGACTATTGTCCTCATCTTTGTCGCCATATTTATTACAACGTTCCGGTCGTAATGTACATAATACCTCATCTCAGAAATATAGACATATGTTATTCTGCTTTCGCAATTGAATTCATGGTAGACGTTTGTTGTTGATTGCGTATTGTTGGTCATTTTCTATAACAATGACCTGTTGATTTTTTTTAGAGGGGGGGGTCACTATTTGTCTATAACTGCGACCCTAAGATGTGCTATTTGCCCGGATCAGGGTGGACCAGGGAACAGCAGCAATAAGGTTGTTCCACGTTCCTCAAAGCCTCCAATCTCCCGATCAGAGACCTTACTGCCGGGTGCAGTTTATCGTCATACCCAGAGCAATAGTTACAATGAACATCATCTACTAAAAATATTCAATCATTTTTTTACATTAATTCCTGACCATTAACAATACCCCGTTTTTTTTTTGTTTTTAACGGATCTTTAAATTTATTAAACATTAAAACCACTAGCAATTTACCTAAATAACAGATGCTAGTGTTAGCAGGGAAATTTACGCAGTTTTCCTCTGAATCTTCTGTGGAGTCTTAATATTTACTGAATAAGCAAGTTGCGGGTCCCACGACTAAAAAATACCCGTGAAAATTCGCCATGTTGCATCGTTAAATGTAGCCAGTTGCAAAAAATATTTCCTCTCAGGAATTCCTCCGCCCACTCTGAAGCGCAGCTCTTAATGCCCAGGCTGGTGAGTGGCCGATGAAGACGGGTGGTTTAGGGATTATAGCCGGTATTTGATCGGGGTGTGGCCGTCGTAATGCACATTCGTCGTTTTGGAGTCATGTGCTAAAGTTGGGCGTAGGTCAGAGACCAGTGCAGGGTCGACCGCGTCGTTGCAAAAGGTATTACCACTGACGATACGCCCTATACACGGTCATCCTCGAATAAAACACGAGTCTTAAGTAAACATCGTTTCCATCTTTATCAATTCTAAGAAACCATTACATTTCTCCTTTTTCGAGTCGAAATCATTTCTTTCAGTCGATACTGAAATTGTCTTGGCAAGGTAATTTTTTTTAACAATTTGCTGCGATCATTCCTTTCTATAATAATGCGGTATCCCAATTCTTTTTACCTCTTGAAACCACTTTCTCAATCTTCACACTAGCTGCAGTACTAGGATGTCGGCCGGGCTCACCCTGCAGTATAATGGACAATCCTCCGGGTGTGATACTTGCCGCTGTCTGTTCTGCTATCCTTCCCGTGGTTATTCTCAATATTTTGATTGGATACTCCATCCATACGGGGAATCCAGTGAAGTTAAGGTTGTTCAAAAACCATTGCTTTCGCTGAGATACCGTTTCTAGAGTAGGGCTGCTAGCCAAACCTAAAAGATCCTTTCTTACCATCGAGATACGGAGAAATCCCACTAGACGACAAACCGTTACATAAAAACCACAAGGTATTTACTATTATTTTATTACTCATGTATCAGTACAATCAAAACTGTCGGTAAGAAGGAAGGTATTTTAAGTATTAGGTTGGTGCAAAAAATAATGTCGTTTTTGACGTTAAGTTGAACGTCAAAAAACGACATTATTTTTGCACCAACCTAATAATATTGTGGTGTGCTGCTCAGATTTGTTTTTAAAATTGTTAATGAGGTTGTTAGTGAGGCTGCGTTTTTAGTGAGAGCACATACATTTAAATTTGCAAAGAACACAAGGAAAAAAGAACAAGAGATCAAATTGCATTCAACAATAAAATATATATTGAAAATCAACGAGTACAACAATTCAATTGTGCTTATGTATTAATATTTAGGGAGAGAAAAGTAGCTTCCCTTCTACTGATATCTGATGCAAGATAGGAATAATCTATTTAAGAACTTTGTTGAAATGTTCAGAGTTCAGGGAATAAGATTTGAATTCAAGAACGAAAAATTTTGTACAAAAAGGATAATAGAATTTGGTTTGTGACTTGGCTTGTGACAGAACAGTTAACAGTGTAGTGTAATGGTAGTTCTGTGTGTGTGTGTGCGTGAGTAGAAGAATGTATATACGCGTGCGTTGTTGAGTTCTGCCGATTTATTATTCTGCTAACTTATTTCTGGAGTACGAACTGTTTAAATACTTTTTGGGTAGGCTCCAGAGAGAAGCGGGGAAAATATCGAAAGGAATATCTAAAATACACGATTGGATAAAAATTGACCAATCACTGATTTTTTTACAAAACCAAGTTAGGCAAACTCATGGCAAAACATTTTGCGTGGTTACTGCGATAGGTAAATTGTCCTGTAGTAAACAGTACTTATTTTCTATCCAATTATAACTGAGTATTTTGTGGGCGTGGTAAATCGGAGTAGTCACTACAATATGTATTATATTGTAAGTAATTTCCGTTTAATCCAAGTACAAATTGCTAATTTATAATTGAACAGTGAACAATTTATAAACAACCAAGGAAAGATATTCGTATATTATCATCATAAATCATACCTATTATAAAACCCAGGTTGTGTGTGTGTGTTTGTGTGTTTCGTTTATATATTGGATTGGATTTTCTACATTTTTCAACCGATTTCAACAAAACTTCACAGGACTACGCAAAATTACCTTGCGGTGGTTCTGACAGCGCTCAAAATTGGAAAAACAATTGTTTTTGCACGAAATTAATTTGAAAACACGATTAAGAGGCATTAATGAAAGGGGGTCAACTCATATCGAGTTATACTTATTATAAAACCCAGGTTGTTTGTGAGTGAGTGTGTGTTTGTGTGTTCGTTTATATACGCG